GTGCACTATTTTTTAATTAAATATCAAAGATATAATTCAAAATAATGCTATATATTTATTTACCAAGTATGTTATTAATACCATGAAAAAATTAAAAAATATATATAATTAATGAAGCCAACCATATTAACTACAAGAGGGATTTGTTGACAAAGAGAGTATTCAAATCACACAACAAATTGAAGTGGGAACTACCTCGCAATGTCCTTGTTTAACAATCAAGAGTTAGCGGTTATCGCTCAGATTATATTAGCGGATTTGACCAGCGAATTATATCAACGGTTGGTAAAAAGATATTTGAAAAAATTAACTGTTTAGATTAACATGTAAAATGACCTAAGGGTATACATATAATAATAATAATAATAATAATAATAATAATAATAATAATAATAATAATAATAATAATAATAATAATAATAATAATAATAATAATAATAATTGTTTTAAAAAATAAAAAAAATATAATTAAACCAATCATATTAACTACTTGTCGGATTTATTGACAAAAGAGTATTCAAATCACACAACAAATTGAAGTGGGAAACTACATCGCAATGTCCTTGTTTGGCAATCAGCAATTAGCTCTTCAATATTAGTATATATTTAATATTTTATGCTCTAATTTTTATTTGCTCTCTCTTATGTCCCGTATTGGTTTCAACCATACATATACAATTGTTTTATTGACAATTATAATCAATCTTAATTATATTATCTTAGCTTGCATTTGTAAACTTAGAATTACCTATTTAAATACGCAAATTCAACATTCAATTAGAACAATTCTCATATAATCTTGCATTGATATACTTTAAAGTATTTATTTAAAAAAATGGATATTATCTCAATCGCGCAATGCGTTTAAAAAATTAGTATAGTATAGATTTGGTGTTTGGATGAGGAAACGGCTCCCAGCACTGTGGAATCGATTAGGTGCTTCATACTTTGTGGAGCCACGAGTGGTGAGGAAAATAAGAGTGGTTGCTGAGAGGACTCCCAATATGAGTCTTAATATAAGGACTCTCAATATGAGACAGTTTAGGATTTCTATTCCTTGTAAGTTCTTAGTCTAAAATATCTATAAATAGACTCCACAATATCCAGCAATACAATATTGATATATGTTATATCAACCGTAGAGAAGAGAAACTATGGATTCCGATCATTATGCCGTTTTAGGCTTACCCTCCGGCAAAGAAGGAGCCAGGCTTTCTGATAAAGAGATAGCTAAGGCCTACCGTCGTAAAGCTTTGGAGTTACATCCAGACAAAAGACCTGACGATCCAAATGCAAAAATATATTTACAAAAGCTGAAGGCCTCATATGATATTCTTAAGGATGAGAAGGCTAGGAAACAGTATGACAGTCTGCTCCTTGCAAGGGCGGCAGAAATTCGCGCGAAGCATAAGAGAAAACATGAAGAGGAATTAGCTTCCATGTATGCTAAAAGACGTGCCGCTGCTACTCCGCCTATGCCACCGCCGGGTTGGAAGGAAGCAAAAGATGGGCCGTGGGCGAGTATGAGAAGGGCTGCTGAGAGGCAAAAGATGGCACAAGATTTAATGTTACAAAATATGTTACGGAATATGAGTGGCAAAATATGGTAAACTAGCAGCATATGAGGGTGCTGAGTGGTATGATACAACAACAGTATGATACAACAACATTATTATTGCCATTAACTTCATCGTTATCCTATCGCCGGGTACTTCCCAACCCATTCCACCCCAACTCATTCCATCACTCGGCCAAGCTTTCTTGAGCCCGAGCCCGGCATCACTGGTCACTTCACATCGTAGTGTATAGTAGAATTGTGCTAGAAAGTAAATCAACACTTTTAGCACGAGGCTAATTAAGATTCTCACTCATTAAAAATTTAAACTTAAGTATTTGTTGGGTCACTACATCTACACTAGTACAAAACAGTTCATTCGCGCCTATTGTAGGCTATTGTCAGTACTTCAGGCATCAGTTGTTCACAGTCGCCTAATGTTCAAACTAATATTCTTTTGCCTGTCAAATTTTCCTAATTCAATCATTTAAATTGGGAAGGAGGCATAAAAACATTAAAAAATGAAAGGAAAACAATATACTTCAATCTGCTGAAAGCTTCATCCAATTCCTTGCAAATCCCAAAATCCAAAAGAACTGCATTTACCGAATTGAAGTTACTGCTAAAGAAATACAGGACGGTATTTCTAAATTGTTCATTGATCGATCAGGGAGCAAAGTGAAGAGAGAGAAACCATTCATTCCTTCGGGAGAAACTAGCACATTACCAGGATGTAGATCACCAAGGACAAATATCATTTCTGAAAAGGCCTCTGCTAAGGCTTTTCCAACTTACAATAACATCAAAGATGGGAAATTTCTTCCATTATATCCTTATAAAACTTTGGAGTTGAAAACCCAAAAGAAATTCTTGGAGTGAAAAAACATTGATTGATTTCATGTGATAACCAAACAGTCAAATAGCTAGGTTTTACTTTCACTAAACATGAAATTCCAAGTGTAAAGATCAGAAAAAGAAGGAAATTCCAATTGTCATCTTGCCAATCCTAAATTTGCAAGGATAATGTTAGTCTTATTCAATATTGCAAAACGACATTGTTTTGAGTGAAATAATCCTAAATTGTTCAAACTCTAAATATTTTTTAGGTTAATATTTAATATTTTATTATTAACTATTAAAGTATTAAATAGTTTATAATTAAAAAATTAAAAACAAATTTAAAGAAATTTTTAAAAATAAAAAATGCACGGGCGCCTAGGCGTCGATTAATTCCCGCCTAGGTGCCCTAGGCGCTAGGCCCTCCCTAAGCGCCCGATGGGCGCCTAGCGATTTTTTCAACCATGGTCTTATTATTGGTGTAGTCATTCGGCAGGTCAACATGACCGATTGAATGAATGATAAAGGTAGATGGGTAGAAAAATTAAGTAAAGACACAACAATACTTTTTGCGTGAAAATCACAGATCTTTTTGGGCGGTACGAAGTCAAAATCCACTATTTCTTTAGGTGGTTTTGTAAATGATCAGTCTTTCTCTCCAGAGAGATGTAGATTTTTTATTTTTTTTGGTTGCCTAAGGTATCCCTCCAGCCCAAGAGAGATGTAGATGATCTTTCATGTGATTCACTAAGGCCTTTTATGGTAGAAAAAGGTGATTTAGGTTGACTTTAATTTCCTTAATCGAGCAATGTCATTTAATTCCTTCTTCTACCGCTAAAGTTGGTCAAGTCCTGGAGTCGAGTGCCTGTCTAACTATCATCCAATGCCAGACTGACTGCTTGATTGACTACTCCTAGTCCATATTCCATCAAACATAAAAGTATACAATTCCTTACCATGATAGAGAAATCAAACAATTATAAAGAACAAGAAAGCAAATTGTAACGCACGGGGCACTTTACTACACATTTCCGAGGTTTCTTACATCCTTCTACACCTCTCTTGGACTTTTATATAGCTTCTTATGGTTGGTAAAATTTCCTAGAAGCATGTACATAGTGATCTATAGAATATTGTAGAACCATTAACTTTGTGTAAAGATTTATGGAAGATTCTATAAATTAATTAGTCCTAAGATTTAGTAAATCTACACCATTCATTAAAGATGTGGAATGAATATAAATACCTCTCAAGGTAGCTCATTTATAATCATCCAATGATTTGAAACTTCATTAATTAGATAGAAGGAATACAAACCACTGCCATCTCTAGTCTCTAGTATATATGGCAATTCACATTAACACCAAGTTATAAAGTGCAGTGAACCAATAGAACAACACAAGCATACATAAATGAAGTAGGACCAAAATCAAGAGTATAAATTAGCAGCAATAAAAAAGTTAATAATGACAAATTAGATCAATATTCTTATCACGTACATACATAACGTATTAAAAGCTCAAAACATTTTTATGATTTTGAAGTAGGTCTATCCCTGAAATATTCTAATAAATAGAGGCAAAGCATTCGAGCTGAGCATGCTAAGGAATCAATGTATTATCACCTCTTCAAATTATACCAATTGTGTTGAATTTTGGGGTAGGTCTATTCCAAATACTCTAATAAACCGAGGCAGAGCAGTCGAGCTGATCATGATAAAGATGACAAGTTAAAAAGTTGTTGTTGTAAGTCCATAAAGGAGTTCACAAGTAAGAGTTTATAATCTATCACCATAACGTTGTTGTAAGTCCATAAAGAAGTTCATAAGTGAGTTAAGAGTTAATGTATCTTCTTTACTCTATTTAAGCTAAAGCAGGTGCAAAGACAACGTTGTTCATATCATCGGGATAAATCCACTAATAATTTTGTTGTTTTCATTTGGTTACAACTCTGTATTGTGTTTATGTCGAGGATCTAGTCATTCAGAAATTAAATTTTTATCAATGAAAATAACAAAATTACTAATGAATTTGGGATTATCTGGATATCCCGTATAATCAGAATCTGAAAATGCATCAATGTCAACATAGAGGCTAATTTTGTAAAAGAAGAAAATAACCAAGTGTGATTCCCGAACATATCAGCCTTGGCATGCCACTAATCAACTAGAGTAGTAATCTAACATTATAAACTTTCCAAATTTCACTAAAAATAAAATTGTTAACAAATGAAAAATGATACATTTTGAAAACAATATATTTTTTATCTTTGTGTAATGTCTCGTATTTGTGCACCGTCGGGTCTGTGATTTTCATTGTAGTGAGATTTTTCCCAACAAATTTGGTATTTGGATGAGGAAGCGGCTCCAAGCACTGTGGAGTCGATTAGGTGCTTCATACTTGGTGGAGCCACGGGTGGTGAGGAAAATAAGAGTGGTTGCTAAGAGAACTCCTAATATGAGTCTTAATATAACAAGGACTCCCAATATGAGATAGTTTAGGATTTCTATTCCTTGTAAGTTCCAGTCTAAAATATCTATAAATAGACTCCACCGTATCTAGCAATACAATACTAATATATGTTAGATCAACCGTAGAGAAGAGAAACTATGGATTCCGATCATTATGCCGTTTTAGGCTTACCCTCCGGCGAAGAAGGAGCCAGGATTTCTGATAAAGAGATAGCTAAAGCCTACCGTCGTAAAGCTTTGGAGTTACATCCAGACAAAAGACCTGACGATCCAAATGCAAAAATATACTTCCAAAAGCTGAAGGCCTCATATGATATTCTTAAGGATGAGAAGGCTAGGAAACAGTATGACGATCTGCTCCTGGCGAGGGCCGCAGAAATTTGCGCGAAGCATAAGAGAAAACAGGAAGAGGAATTAGCTTCCATGTATGCTAAAAGACATGCCGTTGCTACTCTGCATATGCCTATGCCGTGGACGAGTATGAGAAGGGCTGCTGAGAGGCAAAAGATGGCACAAGATTTAATGTTACAAAATATGTTACAGAATTTGAGAAGGGCTGTTGAGTGGCAAAATATGGTACAGAAGCTTATGAGGGCTGCTGAGTGGCAAAATATGGTAAACCAGCAGCATATGAGGGGGGCTGCCGAGTGCCAAAATATGGTAAACCAGCAGCATATGAGGGCTGCGGAGTGGCAAAATATGGTAAACCAACAACATATGAGGGCTGCGGAGTGGCAAAATATGGTAAACCAACAGCATATGAGGGCTGCGGAGTGGCAAAATATGGTAAACCAGCAACATATGAGGGCTGCCGAGTGGCAAAATATGGTAAACCAGCAGCATATGAGGGCTGCCGAGTGGCAAAACATGGTACAACAGCAGCATGTTTTCCATATATGAATATTTTTGGTTTTTAAATTGACATGGCATATACATTTCATAATGAGTCCCTTTGCATGAAACTATATGTTCAACTGCATAATTTTGTAATAAGTACTCCTCTTTGTTCTTGTGACAATTAAGTCCGTTTCATATTTATGGTGTTACATAATTCTTTTAGAAAGTCCAATTCGAATTTTTTTTAGTTATCAAATTAATTTAATCAATTCAGTTGTGATTTTGATATACTAACCTTACGTTAGGAAAGAAATTAAAATTTATCATCATATAAGAAACTAGTTTAACACCCTAGGATCACTTGCAACTAAAACTTTCAGTTGCAACATACTCTTGTCTTTGTGAGTGAAGTTTAAGTGAAAATCACAACAAAAGTGAACATGGAGGCATTTAAAGCTTTCACGGAGCAGATTAAAAATTTTGTTCTCTGGTGTTTTTCTTTTCCCCGTCTATAGGGTGAAGCACGATAATAATGATGATCCCGGTAAGAGAAAGTACAAAAAATTGGAAAGTATATTATGTTTCCAAAACAATCTAATGAGAATTGATGGTATTCCACATGATAATTGGCATTCAATTCAGTCCCTATAAACTACAAAACTGGCAATGTCATGAAGCCCAGCCTCCTTGTAACATTCAGCAATTCTCTCCAAATAGTCATCCCATTTACCATCAATAGAAGCTAAATCCAACAGGAATGCAGCTTCATCCAATGCAATCTACAACATATATATAAAGTGAGGGAAACATATTTGCATTTCTTTTTGGGTTTTCCCTAGATAATTGAAATCTATTTTGAAATTGACAATAGGACAAAATCAAAATTCTGGTTGAGGGGTTATAAACCTGAGCGGGATCTTTTCCTTTCTTTAGATCTTCTTGTCTACCCTCCTGAGTCACTTTCTCTTTGACAAATTCAATCTGTTCATCTTCCCATTGAGCCATATTTGCCACTTTCTGCATAGAATTCCATAAAAAAATTGGAGAATTATCAGACAGACGGCATGCTAAGAAGACTATATTCATTACTCACAGAGGAGGCAGGCCTGGTATTCACAACCCAAAGTCCACCATGGTGATTTTAAAGCACCCCTAGCCGCATCTTTAGCTTCCACATTACGCCCAACCATATATGAATGAAATGGAGATAATATACAAAATGTTGGAAATAGAAATCTTGAGAAAAGCAAATGATTAGATATAATGACCTCAACAAAACTTCTGCATTAAATACAAATAGCAAGATTAATTTGATGCCAAAATTTCAGAATAAAAGCGGGAAACTTTTGAACTAATAAATGCAGATCATTCCAATGTAACAAGCAAAAATTTTGGAATGCCACTATATATATACACACCACACACAAACATATTTTGGAATGCTACACAAATGAGAACCGAGGCATAATGTATACACGCAAACAGTATACTCATATAGTATTAGCGAAGTACCAGGATAAAGAGTAGCGGGAAAGCTGGCGGCGCGTGAAACTCCGATCACCGCTCCGCCGCACGTTTTCATATCTATAAGTTATGTTGTAAAGATAGGAACTGCACACAGCATAGACTCGTTATGATTTATGAATAACAAATCATGGGCCGGGCTGTATTCGAATTCGAAGTGGGCCTCAGTTTTGTTTAGCGTGCTTTATAATTTTCTTTTCTTTTCTTTTTCAGGTGAAAATCAACATCTACCCAATCACATTTCACAGGCAATTTATATCCTACACCACGGCGCGCGTTGCACTATGTACCCAGATGCAAAACGACGTCGTTTTAATTATTTTTTTTTTTTTTGAAATTTCCCGCCCCAGTGAATGGCAGTAGTTTTTTCTTTAAAAAAAAAAACCCCGCTGTTCAAGAATGTACATAATGTTATACTAGAATACACATAATGTTATACATGAATGTACATAATTATATAACAAAATATACATACTCTTTTTAAAAGATAATACACATAATCTAACATAATACATAATAAACATAAACTTTTAACATAATACACATCAACTATTAACATAATACACACAAATTTTCTGATTTGGATGTACATAATTGTATAAAAAGAATGTACATAATTGTATAAAAAATACACATAACTGTATGAACCAATACACATAACGTTGTGAACAAATACACATAACGTTGTGAACAAATACACATAATCTCAGCAACTTCCTACCGCGCCTCCCAACACTACCCCAAAACGACGTCGTTTTGGGAGGCGCGCGGCGCACAGTGCTATGTGTGCCGTGGTGTAGGATATAACGATTGCATTTCACATTATAATTTTAATTTATTTTTTGTGGCAATTTATATAGTGCACCAGGGTGCGCATTGCATTGTGCGCCCTGGTGCAAAACGATGTCATTTAGAAATTATTTTTTTTCAGAATTTCGTTTCTTGTGTCGATTGTTAATTTTCTTTTTAAAAAAATCTAATGTTTCAAAAATGTACATAATTTTATATTAAAAGGTACATAATTGTATACTAAAATGTACATAATTGTATAACAAAATACACATACTTTTTTAGAAAAGATAATACACATAATCTAACAAATACACATAAATTTTTAATATAATACGCATGAACTCTTAACATAATACACATAAATTCCTTGTTTCGGATGTACATAATTGTATAAAAAAATGTACATAATTGTATAAAAAAAATGTACGTAATTATATAAACATATGTACATAGTTGTATACCCAGGCCTGGTCATATCATTTTATAGGCCAGGGCGTAGCAACAAAATGGACCGTATACTAAATTAATATATATTTTTATAATTAAATAATAGAAAAATACTAATATTAAATAACTTAAATAAGATTCTCAAATTTTTAACAATTATATATACACATGAAAACAATTCTAGATGCATTTCTAAATCCAAACTAATCAATAACTGTACCAGTGCTTTCATAAATAAAGAATTACGGAGTATAAATAAAGAATTATAGTTTATAAAAACGAATAAAACTTAATTATTGGGATAAATAAATCAAAATACTCTAAACGTTTATAGAGAATCACATTATAATTATAATAAATAATAAAGTAATTTTTAATAAAAATTTGTAAAACAAAACTTACAAATAAGAGCATAACATAAAATCTTAATTATTGGGAGTAATAAATCAAAATACTCTAAACGTGATAAAATAGTTTGAGTAAAAAATACATAATAAATCACACATCTTGTATATTGATATCATATTTATAAAAAACTTTTTCTTTTAGTTAGATCAATTTTGAATTTTTCTAGATTAATTTGAATACGATGACACACAATAGGACTTCTAAACTATATTGACTAGATAATTCATAGAAAAACTAATATATCTTTTAAAATATTTTTCATAACTAAATCACAAAATATATTACATTTACATAACTCATTATAAAGTTCACAAAGTAACACATATTTTAAATATAAGTAATAAATTATTCGAATAGAAACAAATTCAAAATTTGATATGCATCAAAAGTCAATCTATATTACAAATATTACTATAATTATAGAAGAGTAAAAAAAAATCACAAAATTTACAAATTAAATTAAAAAATACAGAAATATAAATAAATTTCATAAGTTAACTATATAATCATCTACTAAAGAAAAAGGAGGAAAATTTTGATATAATATTATATTAGACAAGATTCGATCACTAGATCTAGTTTAAACAAACTTCAATTCTTTCCAATTTAGCTAATTGTCAATTAAGAACAAAGATTTATTAATTTATTATTATATCAAACATCTAATAGTATATATAAAAGGTAATTAAATAAGAATGTGGGCCCCTTCCAAGCATGGGCCCTAGGCAAGGGCCAACCTGCCCTTGCTCAGGGCCGGGCCTGTGTATACGTATACCATAATGTACATACTCGCGTCAACTTCCTACACAACTTAACAAAACGACGTCGTTTTGGGAGGCGCGGGGCGCACAGTGCTGTGTGCGTCATGGTGCAGGGTATAACGATTGATTTTTTGTCATACCACAATGTGTCCAAGCCTGTATCATACTTAGACTAATCTCCGTTCGTACCGGACCAGACCAATTAAGGGCAAAGTGTTGGCCATATTGATTTTTTTCATACGAGAGGGAGTTCGAACTTCCGACCTCTCTTAGGGAACGAGAGTGCACAGCCACTCACGCCAGCCAAATTGGTTATTTTTGTCCAATCAAGTCAGACTTTGACTCGAAGTCTCGGGCTTGGTACTGAAAGATTGACTTTATCTTTCGTTTTCTTTCCAAATCAAACGATCCATCTTATCATTTGATGTTTACACGAGAATTAGACCCTTCCACACTTCGGTCTTGACTGATCTCTCGGTCTTCTCTTGACCTCCTCTTTTCTTCAAAACGTCCTAATAGACTAAGAGAAGCTCTGATTCGTGCTAATATTGTGCTGATCATGAATCACAAGTTGAGCAAAGGAACTTTCGTCTAACACGAAAGATATACAAAAACAAGAACAAAAGAGGGGTCTACTTTCCTAGTAAGTTTGGTATCATCAAAATCTAAGTACACTTGTTCCTAACACATAGCATACTCGCATGCTCTGCCTCTGTTTGTTAGAGTATTTCAGGGATGGAATCCACTTCAAAATCCAACACATGGATTAGAGATTGTTTCGTCATGGAAGAATATGTTGCAAGACAACTCATCTCTTTATTGTCAGCTGTTGATGGAAGTAGTTTTTCCTGTTGAAAGAATGTCTGTGATTAACACTTGGCAGGCTTGGGATCCAGAACCCATGCTTCGATTTTTGGATTCCTGGGAGAAGTTGTTGCCTCCGGTAGTCCTTCACACCATTCTGGATAACATTGTTTTGCCAAAATTAGCAGCTGCTGTGGATTCGTGGGATCCACGTGGAGAGACAATTCCAATCCATTCTTGGATTCATCCTTGGCTGCCCTTGTTGGGACATAAGCTGGAAACATGCTATCACACTATAGGTTACAAATTGGAAAGTGTACTTCATGCTTGGCACCCAAGTGATATGTCTGCATACTACATATCAATGGAAGTTGATACATCAAAGGAAGCTGCACGCCAACGCATCCAAGAGCAGCTAAATGCGGTAACTGCTGATATGGTTATGCTAGCTTTCAATAGATGACACAGAGAAGCCCAAGACAACTAAGAAGGGTCATGGAAGTTGAAAGGCTAAGGCAAAAGATGAAGTCTCCCCTCTTGAGAGGCTTGCTGAGGAATCGAAGGAAATTTTGATATTCTGGAGGAAGAAAATATAGTTAAATGCTATGATGAGGGTCTTAAGAGCAATAAGGACTCTCCAGTTTGGAAGAATGCTAAACCTTTTGTCAAATGACTTCAAAGTGCAGTTTGGATGAATGATATCTTTGGCATCATCATCATATCATGCGAAACTGTTACTTCTGAATTGTAGACTCCCCACTTTTCTCCATCTCATTTAGAGTATTACTAAATACTTTCTTTATCTTTCTGTTTCAAGTGTGTTTGCCTCATGTGAAAATGTTACTTCTTACTCGATGCAGACTGCCTTATTGCCTAAGGGGATTTGCAAAGTGATGCGTGCTTCATTTTCTTGATCAGCTTTCTTCTTCAGTTTTCAGAACGCACATTCTCCTCCAATTCTAGTAGCACTCTGTTAATGGATATAGTTCTTACTTCTTAGGTCAAGAGAAACTTTGTTGGAGATTTAGGCTCTGATACCATGTTATGATAATACAAAGCTGATATATTGATGAATGAAATAGACCAAGTATAAATAGAGTACAGATGAGAAGAAGTATAAAAGAGTTACAACAATCCTAAACTACAAGAATACAAAAAAACTTTGTTTGAGATTTGGGCTCTAATACCATGTTATGATAATACAAAGTTGATATATTGATGAAAGAAATAAGCCAAGTATAAATAGAGTACCGATGAGAAAAAGTAGCAAGGAGTTACAATAATCCTAAACTACAGGAATACAAAAAAAACTTCGTTTGAGATTTAGGCTCTGATACCATGTTATGATAATACAAAGCTGATATATTGATGAATGAAATAAGCGAAGTATAAATAGAGTACAGATCAGAAGTAGCAAGGAGTTATAACAATCCTAAACTACAGAAATACAAAAAAAACAAAAAAAACAAAAAAACTTCGTTTT